CAGTAAAAATGAAGCTAGGCTGTTTCTGTTACTTTCACTGTCTAGTTGGCTTACCAGAACAGTACAGTATATGATTTGATTTCCATCCACAAGTATCACAAAGTACCTAGTGGTAAATAAGATATTGCCAAACATAAACATTTTAACAGTTCCTGTCCTTATGTATTTGGTGTGTGGTACGGACAGGCAGGGACATGAGGATCACCAGTTACACTGCAAATACTGCCAAGGAACTGATGTCTTCAGGGTAAAATTACTACCACAATGACACATTTCAGTCATCTGCATTAAAAAGTTCAGGTTGACAAGGATTTTCAACAATTGTAGGATGGATTGGAGAAAAAGAGCCTAAAACCAAGGTGTGCTTTGGGAGGTGTTGATACTATTAATTCTGTGCATAAATTTTTGTGTTTTTTCATTATTTTGCTTAGCATGTACCTGTGACCTGCCTTTTAGCACACAGTAAAAACAAAGATGAGTTTTAATGGGACAATTTATAGCATAAAGACAGCAGGACTGACTAGGCTGAGGAATCAAGCAACAGTTAATAACACTGTGGTCACCTTTTCTCCCTTTTCTCCTATATCACCCTTTTCTCCTCGAGGACCAGGGAAACCCTATGAAAACAAAATGGACAAAGATCGGTTGACTTTTATTCACATGCAGGTTAAGCTTTCAAATACTCTTGGAAAACATAAAAAAAGATGATTTCATTCCATGCATTGTATGTATACGTGTGTTATGTGTGCACACAGGCATGCACAGAAGGGCACATGAGACAAGTCAGTCGTAATGTTTGGGAGAGTCATCTTGCCAGCAATGGAAAGGGATCATATCACTCAAAGTGGCAGCAGTCCATGCTATGCAGCATATGGATGTTCTGGAAAAGACTCCTCCAGGTTAGGGATTTCAGGGTAGGACTAGAGGAAAAGGCTTTTAGGAAGGTCTTTTAGCATGCCAAAGAAAGAGCCTATATTTTGAAATGTATCACTTACAGGTTATGGAATGATTCTCTTTAATTAGGATAAATTTACTTAACCAAACGTTAGTGACTCCTTGTTCTTCTACAACCGAGTCACAGGTCTGAATATTTTCTTACCAAGTGCAGTTTTTCAGCCTATTGACTTCCAAAGGACCAACTACTTGTGTTACTAAGCACTCTATCTGGTGGGGTCTGTGGATAAGGGCTGTATTTTGCATAATCTTTGTCCTCTTTATGGCAGAGAATGAACAAATGCAGCATTTAGCACACTGTCTGTATGCACTGCATGCACACTAAATGAGACAAAGGCGTTACACTCTGAGCTACTTCTCAAAAGACACTTACCTACCATTAAGAGTGCATTTATCATACATATTACTTACATCAAGGCCAGGCTCTCCATCTTTCCCCTGCCAAAGAACCATATAAACTGCATTAGCATCCCTCAGCTGGGACACAAGTGGCCACCTTGATGCCTGACTTCTGCACTCCCTTTATGGAGTGGTACCCCCTGTTGCTAAGGGGGCACACGCAGCGTTGCCTTAGTGAAGGGCATTTCCGTCAGTGTTTAACATCTCCAGGAACTGATAACTTGACTGTAAAATCTTGCTTGACTGTAAAAGATACCTGGAGCAAGCTAAAAATACAGAAAAGCCTATCCTTCTTGATTTTTAGTTCACCGGGAGGGGAAACAGAAATTGAATTTTTAAAATTTCAACTCAGAAAAGCGCCCCTCAGAGGAACATGCACTGCAAGCTAAGTTAACACTCCAGGGAGCCTGAAAACTATCTCTCGTCATTGACTCCTGATCCAATTAAATGGATCCACATGCACTGCAAGCTAAGTTAACACTCCAGGGAGCCTGAAAACTATCTCTCGTCATTGACTCCTGATCCAATTAAATGGATCCAATTAAACCATGAGACTGTATTCCAGCTTTAATTAATTAATCAAATAGATTAGACTGGAGAGGGCACGGAAACATTGCAAGTCTCTTGCAGAGGCTGGTTGTGCACATTTACATGGCTTTTCTTGTGTCAAAGGACAGAACAGACATGTATACGTACACACCTCACCCAGTCACCAGCAAAGTAAACATAGCAAGTCAACTGATTCTATTTGGGCTACCCTCGTTAGGCCAAAAGAAGTTCTGACTCTTGTTTTAGAAATGGATAATATCATTTAAATGGTTGATTGAAAGCATACCATCTCCACCTGTGAATGATCAACACTGAACTTCTCAAATTGCTTCCGAGCACATGGCACAGAAATGAAAACAAACCTGCTCTCTGAAGTGTCAAACAAAACAAAAATACACCGGTGTAGCAGCTTTGCAGCACGGAAATCCAAGGAGCTTACTGACATTAAGAAAATCACAGCTTTCCATGGTCGATCCTGAACTCCTGTCACTCCCTGTTGGTCCCCAGAGAGGCGAGATGGCCACAGCTGGCAGGAACAGCAGCACTTCCATCCTGGATTTCCTCTCTCTTGGTGGTTCCTGTCAGGTCTGTTTCATTACTTTTGCAGGGCCACACACACGGGTAGGAATCTAGGTCTGCGATACAGACCAGTGACCTTGCACTATCAGGGATTATTATCTTTCTTTGCCTTTTCCAACTAATGGTATCTCCGGGTGAAAAGCAGTCATAAAGCACACACAGTTTAATCAAGGAGTGATGAAAAGCGCGATGTTTACAAACTTACAGGCAAGCCGTATGGTCCTCTGGGTCCAGGTTCACCTACAGTTCCCTTTTCACCCTAAGAAAGGATTACAGAACAAGCAAACAAAAAAAAGTTGTCTGTCTTAGATAGAAATCATCTCTACCAAGTGCTGTAGGTTAAACTTTATGTATTCCTAAATATTTTGAGGGAAAAATATCCATGCTCTTTTATTTTTATTAAATGATTAAGAGGGCAAAGAGAAGGCGTGTATTACTTTCTAGGCAAAATGACTTTTTAGGCATATGATATTACATTTGTTTTTAAATCTATTAGTAACTGACAATATTTTTCAACCTCAACTTGCACTAAATTCAACTTATAACAGCTCAGTAAAAATCCCACGTGGTAATGAAAACTGAGGATATAGAGCATAAAGCCCCATTACAGCAGCTGAGATATGACACAGACAAGCAAAAATAACGCGTCAATCAATCCAAACTTGTATTTAAGCAGGCGATGCTATTAACAGTGACATTGTGAAGATTATCCCCTGCTCTGTACGGTGTTGCTAACTGCTCTGTTGGATTCTAGATCAGTGGTTTTTGAAATCAAATCTGTATTAATGTGCAAGACAAACAAGTTGTACGGTGTTGCTAACTGCTCTGTTGGATTCTAGATCAGTGGTTTATGAAATCAAATCTGTATTAATGTGCAAGACAAACAAGTATCACAGAATCATAGAATACCAGGCTGGAAGGGACCTCACGGATCATCTGGTCCAACCTTTCTTGGCAAAAGCATGGTCTAGACAAGATGGCCCAGCACCCTGTCCAGACAAATCTTAAATGTGTCCGTTGATGGGGAATCCATGCTAACTGCTCTGTTGGATTCTAGATCAGTGATGTAAATACCCTGGTTTATGAAATCAAATCTGTATTAATGTGCAAGACAAACAAGTATCACAGAATCATAGAATACCAGGCTGGAAGGGACCTCCCGGAGCATCTGGTCCAACCTTTCTTGGCAAAAGCATGGTCTAGACAAGATGGCCCAGCACCCTGTCCAGACAAATCTTAAATGTGTCCGTTGATGGGGAATCCATCACTTTCCTGGGGAGATTATTCCAGTGGCTGATTGTTCTCATTGTGAAAAATTTTCCTCTTGTGTCTGATGGGAATCTCCCCAGGAGTAACTTGTACCCATTACCTTTCAGCTTTTCCATGTGACTCCTTGTAAAAAGGGAGTCTCCATCTTCTTTGTAGCCACCCTTTAAATGCTGGAAGATGGTGGTAAGGTCTCCCCTAAGTCTTCTTTTCTCAAAGCTGCACAAACCCATTTCTCTCAGCCTTTCCTCATAGGGCAGGCTTCCCTGTCCTTTGATCATCTTTGTGGCCCTTCTCTGGACTGTCTCAAGCCAATCCAAGATTAACACAGAGATTACTCCAGAAATAAGAAGTACAGAGATTACTCCAGTAGTTTGATCTCATTCTGCACTAAAATCCATGGAAAAATTACCAGTTTCCAGAGGGATGCTGCCACAATCGTTTTGCAAGCTTAATATAGAGCCAACATGTCCAAATGAAATGGAATTTCAAGATGACAAATTTCAGGCTGGCAGTAGTAATCACCTTTGCTCTTCAATTGTTCCTCATCAAGACTGACATGGAGTTAAACTTCCTGAGTTGGCCAAAGTTACCCCGTGTAACTGCAAGCACGGCGCTCCGGGAGCTTGTTAGGGAGACAGGGCTGGTAAGTAGGTGCAGGATGCAGACTTGTTTCAGACTGTGCTGCCCTTTCTTCTGAATAAAACCCAGCAGAACAGCCAGATTCTCTTGAGAGAGCTAAACTGCTTAAAGAGTTGACGAGATAAAAAAGTCCTGACCACCTCCAGTTTTAAAAGCTCCTGCTCTGGATTTGTTTTATGGAGTTATTTGGATCCCTTCTTCACCTCCTTTCCTTAACAGAATCTAATGCAAGGCTTTGTGCAAGTCTCCTGGCCTTCAGAAGATCCTTTAAAAATCCAGGCTACTTACTACTCATTATTAATCTATTATTCTATTATTAAAAGCTCAAGACAGAGCTGTAGATGTGTGCCTAATTAATATCAGTGATCATCGGCACAGCCAAGTCCCTTAGCACAGCTCTGAAAATGGGCTTCTAAGTCTCAATTTTATTGGCTGGATAATACAAAAAAGCAGGCACCAGAATAAACCAAGCCTGAACCCGTTGTTGAATAAGCACAGCAGTAAGGAGTTTGTCAGAGTAAGTGACATTTGATCAATTTTAGGTATTTTGTATTTTTACATAGGTGGAGACTGTCTATACTCACTGTAGTCTCGGGGTGATCAGAGGTGTGATGTTGGATCTTTATGGACTCTGCAAATCTCCAGCCGTTTCTGGGCAGCACTTAGGCTGGATGCCCTTGCAGAACAACAGGAGGTACTGGGAGGTTACAGCTGATTTTCAAAACAGTAAATCCCTTGCAGTTTTAAAACTTTCTGCTGATCAGAAACTAATGTGCTGACCGATGCTACAAAACTGATCAGTACTTGAAATACGTCAAGACTAGTTAACTATCTTTTTTTAAAACCTTCAACAGCAAAGATGACTGTACAAAGTTCTCTCGAGATAGGCCTATAACGTCGCTAAACATATGGTAGACATAAAGATACTGAATCAGTCTAGGATATAATCTCATCTGTTATGTAAGAATATATTTAGAGAGATGTATCTCACAATTTTTTGCCTCCAATACAAAGCACATGCTGAAAAGTGTCTGGAATATCAGATGAGGTCATGAATGTCTATGGATTATATAAGATTGATGGACTGTCATGAGCACACTGCCCTCAGCCACCACAATAAAGCATTTCCTTCAGGGGAACAGACATTTACAAACTTCAGGAAGGTTTTTAATGTCTTTTTGTAAGATAATTCATCGGTACCCGAAGAACAGAAACCACAGCCTTTGGTTTTGCCTCCTATTTCACCTTAGTCTCCTGAATCATGGGTGCATATTAACTACGCATGAATACAGCTGCATAATTGGTGTCTCCATTAAGATTGATACAGAGGTTTCATAACACTGCCATGGTGACAAACATTTTAACCAAATTAAAGAGAATGCACTTTCCATCCCAGGACAGAAATTGTGTAGTGATGACAGTGCTGCACAAGCTACACATCTGAGAGCCAAAACCAACCTCAGAACCAGGTCTTTGCCATCAAGACAAGAGTTTCAGGAAATTAGTAGTTCATTAATTTTGTCTTTCAGCTTCTTTTAGATGGACAAGAAGTTGGATACACATTATGCCTGTCACTACCCTTCAGTTTTAAGTGTCCTCTTTTACTGGTAGTAGCTGAAGATGTCTAGCTGTTTACCAATGTTCTCTATTTTTGCTCAAGACATGTAAGATTAACAGACACACAACCAGTTCAGAGGTCTATTATTATTAACTCCTCCATTTAATGAAGATGGTCTCAGTAAAAGCTGTCCAAGTACCTAGAAAAATGGTATTTTCAATAGCCAAAAAATTTAGTAAGGACTGTAAGACACCAGCCTAATAGATGATATTATTTCACACTATTAATTCTCATTTCTATTTCTACCAAAAGAAATGCACAAAAGCACAGTATTGGAATGTTCACTAGTACCCTAATCCAGGAAGTGTTAAATCCTGCATTACCTTTTAATAATCACTGAACAGTTTAAAGTTTAGAGAGAAAGTGAGTTAATAGCGCATTTGTTCTAAAATTCATATTTTCCTATTTTCTAGTGACATGCACCGTTTTCCTAGTTGACTTTCTCACCATCTAAATACATTTTGTATTTAGACTGATGTTTTCTATTTTAATTAAATAGCTAAATTGGAAACAAACCAACCGACCCTAATTTGTACAACAGTCTCTTCTACCTAAGAAGAGTAGTTCAGCATTGCCTCCAATGCAGCCTATGCAACCAAGAATCCATGATTTCTGTAGAAGAAATCACTAGGCTTCAGTTTGATTATATTTGCTTTCCTTAACTTTTAAGGAGACATAAATACATAGTGACCAATAGTTTATATGTATTCTCTTAAAGTGAGATTGTCTTTCCACATTTTACGTAACGTGGATTTAAGAACATGGTTTTATTTCACGTTAGGAATCCCTAGTGCCCTTCTAGGTAAATATTGGCCCAAAGCTTTTCTTATCAGCATGGAAAAATGTGATCCTGTCCAGCGATAGCGAGCAGTGGCACTGTGCAGCATTTTTAATTAAAAGCCAATGTCTGAAAACTGCAGGCAAGAATGTTTTCCTCCCGCTTTCACATAAACAAGTTCAACAGTTGCAAATGCAAGTTGTAAAACGGCATTAAAAACCCACGATATGCTATTTAGATAAGGAAACATCGATGCCAGGCACCTGTTAGATAACTACGCTACAAACAACTTCTCCTCCCAAGCAGCACTGAATAATTCAATGAACAATTACAGCAATAATCTTGCTGGTGGATTGCTTGGAAGTAAACCCCTTCCGTCTTTCCTGTGCACTTCCTACCATTCATTTAGCCACACAGAAAGCGGGGGGTGTGCAGGAACTTCTTGCACACCTTAGTTTCTATATTTTTGCAAATCTGTCCCTCTGTGCTTCTGCGATGACTGAACTGCTTTATATCACAGCAGATCCTCTCCCCTTTGTAACTACTGCTTGTCAACAGCTGTACACTTATTATGGCTTTGGATGCTTTCAAAAGAACAAAATAATTATAGTTATGTTCCATACACTAGAAGAATAGTTTATATTGTGGCACATGGGTTTTGAAAGAAATTTCAACCCGTAGCACATACACACATCCTTCAAGATAAAAGCTCATATTGCAAGAATAAAATGCACAGTATTTATATATTCATACATGTATATCTCATCTAAATTATCTCCTGAAGTTCAGAAGATGATGTTCAACTATCTTTTCACAGAGCTGATAGAAAAAAAAGTTATGTCCTGGTTGAAAAAAGGACTTGACTCTGTAATTCTCTAGGAGAAAAAGAAAAATATCCAAGTCCGTCAAATAGTTAATTAGTGTGAGTGGTAACTACAGTCTACTGTTCCTATTT